ACCTCTCAGGGTACACCAGTTAGGGGCCTAGCTGAAGGCCTGGGGTGTTTACCCTCCTCCTGGGTGGCTTTTTTTTTTTTTTTTTTTTTTTAAAGAAACAAGGTCTGTTGTGACGTATAGTTTCCCATAGTCTGGATTCTGTTGATTGCATTCCCATGGTGCCTCCTGTAAACTGGATGCAGAGGCTTGATCACATTCGGATTCCAGAGGCACAGGATGCTGGCTGTCTCACTTCACGATGCTGAGATGGGTCAGTGAGTCAGTTTGGGCTTTGTCAGCCTGATTCCTGTTTTAGGAGTGTCTGCCCTTCCTGAAGGGTTTTAGCCTGTGATGGGCACTGTCCTGATCCATCATTTCATTAGGAAGCCAAATGGTGATAATTTAATGTCATTCCTTCTATGTTTATTGGCTTGATGAGTTCTTTATTAACTCACTGTGTATTACCTGCCCCCCTCCCACACACACACAGTTTTCTTCAAGTTTATTTTTGATTATTGTTCTTTTTATAGAACTTTTGTTTTTTCCCCCCTAAGGAGCGATAATGATTAATATTTAATAATCCTTTCTGTGCTCTCCATATTCATCTTTAATTTATTCAATTTAGCTTTCATGTTTGTCAAATTATTTTTATCTCTGTACCTCCTTTTTCTTCTATTATCTACCTTTGTTGTGTCTTTCTTTAAGAGTCCACATCATACTCCATTCTGTTGTAGCCATAAACCTATTTCTTCAAGTTTTCTTTCAGCTTATTTTTAGAGAATGTCCAGAGGTCATTTCTCTCTCTGAATATTCTGGATGATGAACTTTCCCTCATTATGTAGGGTTGTTGTTGTTGTTTTTTAAATTGTGCTGTGTTGTAAGTTGGTAAGTTTTCTGACCCCATGGGCTGTAGCCCTCCAGGCTCCTCTGTCCATGGGATTTCCCAGGCAAGAGTACTGGAGTGGGCTGCCATTTCCTTCTCCAGGGGATCTTCCTGCCCCACGGATTGAACCCGAGTCTCCACATTGGCAGGTGGGTTCTTTTCCACTAAGCCACATGTGAATTTCATCCAGGTGTGGTGTTTGCAGATGGTATGAGTTAATTGTTCTTTCTTCTCTTCCTTTCCTCTCAGGTGGATGTATGATTTATTCCGAGGGCTGTGGTTGGGGTGGAGGTTTGTGTGATGCTCCCAATTCAGTGCCCTGTCTCTAATAGGAGACCGTCGTATCTGCTCTGTTGCACTGGCATCTCTACCTGCCTTAGTTTTCTGGTTCTGTAATCCTTCAAAGCTTCAAAGTAATAATGTATATGTGTATCCCTGCTTTCTTAAACTGAGGCCCAGCCCTAAAGGATAACATTTCCCAATACTGGATAGAAGATGGATGTTCTAAGCAGAGTGATCAGCATATAGAGAAGCCTGGAGGCATAAAAGCAGCATCAGTTCAGTTCAGTTTCTCAGTCATGTCCAACTCTTTGTGACCCCATGGACTGCAGCATGCCAGGCTTCTGTCTATCTCCAGCTCAGCAGCATAGGGTGCTGAAAAATTAATGAGTCTTTTTTGTGTGCTAGTATTTTGTATGTCTCTTTTTGGTTGTTGGTCAGTCAGTAAGTCCTGTCCGATTCTCGGCGATCCCAAGGACTGCAGCACACCAGGCTTCCCTGTCCTTTACCATCTCCTGGAGTTTGCTCCGATTCGTGTCCATTGAGTCAGTGATGCTGTCTAACCATTTCATCTCCTGCCACCCCCTTCACGTTAATAACTGTTACTTGCTGTCCTAAAGTGTGTACCAGCTTCTTCAAGCCTTTGCAGTTTTTCAAAATGTTCTCATGACTTTAGGATTTCAGTGTTTCTGACTATTCACTAGGCATTCATTCTCCTGGGCTCCCCTATTGTAATGAATCTCCTTTTAATATGACGCAGTCTTAATATGTTGAAGAGGGATTCGTTATCTTTCCCCACAAGTCAAATGATTTTTCCTATCCACCCATAACTTTTCCATTCTCTGGAGCTTGGTGACCTTGGAGTCAACTTTAACACACGCCTTGAATGGATTTCTCTAGTCAGAGTTCTGAGTGCTATTGAGTTTTTAGTCTACTTTCTTCATGACTCACTTCTACTCTTTTTTATTTTAAAAAAAATTATTTATTTTTGACCATGCCACGCGGCATATGGGATCTTAGTTTCTTGACCATGGATCAAACCTGTGCCCCCTGCATTGGGAGCGCTGAGTCTTAATCACTGGACCACCAGGAAAGTGTCTGCTGCTCCGTTTTTGTCTTGCTTTTCTCTCCTGCAGGCCTGTTACTGTGCCTGGAGACACCTCCACCTTCTGTTTCCCACCTCTTGCCTCTTCAGGCTCTCCTGCATGTGGCTGCCAGATTTATACTGTGTGAGGAATGCCTCTTCCCTTCCATCACACTTCTCCCCAGAGCCCCAGATACCTAATCATCTGGAGAAGACAGAATCTCAGTGCTGCCGTTTGCCTGTCTAGGCTCTTGCCTCTCACCTTCCACAGAACAGATGATTGTCAGCTGCACTGCCTTCACTCTGTCCCGGTGTACCCTCCCAGGCTTGCTGTTTTAATAGGAATTCCTTTATCCTTCGTTTTGACCTAGCTGTCTTTATTTATTTTTTCTAGTTGTCTTTAAAAAGAATATCAGTGACCCTCTGGGCCTGGACTTTGCGCCTGGCTTTACTGTTTCTGACAAGGTGGCCATAGGCTTGTTGCTTGTTCTGCTCCAGAGTTTTCTCTACTGCAAAGACCTGTGCATCTTTTTCTTTTCGTATCACTCTTTTTAATACCTTATATTGTGTCTTGTTTAGTGTATCTTTATTGTGTTCATCCCTAGAGTGTATCATTCTTAAAGGTGCTTAACATCCTGTGTGTGTATTCAAACAGTAATGAAGCCTACTTTGAACTTGAGGCCTCCAGAGAGATGATCTTAACATCCCCATCACTCTTCTTCCATGTGACTTGGGGAAGACCAAAGTGCAGTGATCAGTTAATGCAGGAGCCCAGCATTTGAGCTAATTTCGAGATAGAAGTTTAGCTCTTTAAGCACCTCAGTTTAGTATCTTCACTTAAACCTCTGTCAGTGCTTCTCTTTGGCAAGCATAAAATACTGATGATTATTCCATCTTGTTTTTTGATGACTTAATCATATTTGTGAGACTTACTCATCTGTAATCCTAGTTCTCAGAAAACCCTCCACCGCATGGTAGACACACATGCTGGAATGATTTCTGATTACAAATGTCATTGTTAGGATCTGTTAGCATACTATACATGCTATGGGATGTTAAACTGAATTTGCACATTTTAACTTCCTTTGAGTTCTTGTTCTCATTTTGGGCTAGTCTGCAATTATTTGCCTCTTACAAATGAAAGTGCAGTGTAACTTCATGATAGAGATATCATCTCATTTTTGAATAAAAAAAATAGATGTTTATATATTACAATTCATTGAGATGTAGTTATGATTTGTCAAATTTACTGTGTGTAAATAAAACTCAGTAAAAAAATTTAAATGTTAAGGTTGCCTCTTAGTTTACTCGCCATTAATAAAATCTGTTTTTAATCATCTCTTGTTCCCTTTTTGTCCTGTGGGTGGCAGAGAGAGGCTGGGCTAGTCAGACTAGAGACGCGTTGGTGAAAGGTGTCAGGGTGCTGGGTGCAAGGGCTGAGAGCCAGCCCTGCATCTTGGAGTGTGATGCTGGACGTGAGAAAGCCAGCGGCTGCAGACCCAGCGGTCAGCTAGGGAGGGGCAGGTAATTACTGTGGCCTCGGGCAAACAGGGAGGGTGTCCATCTGGTCAGTTCAGAAGTCAGGCCAAATCGGTGAGCTCGGGCAGGGCCCTTGCTGGCCTTTTGTTTTATTCCCAGGCACTAATCTAGGTAGGAAGTGCATTCCATCTTGTGTTGGGAGGGAAGCAAAGATAAAGAACAGCTAGAGGGGTGGTTCTGATCACTTCAACTCTCCCCCCCGCCCCGCAGCGTTTACTTTCAGCATCATTAACTGCCGCATTCAGGTCAGCGTGATCTCAACAGTGCCCCCTGGTGGCCACTGTCAAGGGTTTCAGCCTTTCTAAACAGCCGATGATTAGAAGCCCCTCCGTGCTCCATGAGGGGACGAGAATCATCGGTCTTCAGCCTTTTCTAGGGTCCTCTCACCTTTAGACTTAGAATCACCCAAAGTAAAGGGTCTGGTTTCCAGTGCAGCTGAGGTGCGTTCAGCCCCGCCAGGACCAGAGAGTCTGGCAGCAGTCCTAACCGCTCTTGTTTTTCCATAATTTCCAGAGTCAGTTCTCAGAAATCATTCTGTGTGAATTTAACAACAACAGCAACAAAAGGCAAAAATGCTCCTACTATTAATTCTGAGTAATGATTACCCTACTGATGAGCAGGGTTTTTATCTTCTTAGACTTGTGACTCTCAAAAATTGAGGGCCTCCAAAGAGCTGTTTATGTGGATTATTTTTAATGACATTTACTGTGTTTAGAAATTAAATATTTTAAATGTTTATCACCTCATTTAAAAATAAACCTGTAACAAGTTGACATAAATTATTTTTATGAAAAAAATCTATACTTTCCAAAAAATATCATTGATATTATACCCAAATTTGACCATGAGTATTTTCTTGAATTGCAATGTGGAATCTGAAACCACTGTGATGGACTTTTCATACCTTGTACACTTTCGAGAGAATGAATTTGAAAAAGCAAATGACATGCTGTTTGAATAATGACCCTGGAAAGCCATGAAGCATTTATTATTATTTCCATTTGACAGATGAGGGAATTGAATCTAAGGAAGTACCATTTAGCAATCGCATCTGTGGAAGAACCGCTTGTGGTTTGGAATTGCCTGTTACGGGCTAGATTTAATTTCAGGGATAGATTAATTATGCACATGATAAAGATCCTCTGTTCACATTACTCTGTGGTTTGTTTCCTGATTGGACCCTACCTGATACATGTAGTAGTTTTTAATACTGTATCTTATTTTTATCTGTTCTAGACCTACTCTGGACTCTTCTGTGTAGTCATAAATCCTTACAAGAACCTTCCAATTTACTCTGAGAATATTATTGAAATGTACAGAGGGAAGAAGCGTCATGAGATGCCTCCACACATCTACGCTATATCAGAATCTGCTTACAGATGCATGCTTCAAGGTAACTGGAAATGTTTACAATGCTGAATACTCAGAGTTTCTTAAATATAGCCTGGGTTTTTGTTTTTTTAATGTCTCAGCCTTGTCTTTTTTTTTTTTACCTTTTTTTAAAAATTATTTTTTGTCTGTGCTGGGTCTTCGTTGCTGCACAGGCTTTTCTCTCATTGTGGCAGGTGGGGGCTCCTCTATGTTGCAACGTGTGGGCTTCTTTCTGCAGTGGCTTCTCTTGTTGTAGAGCACAGGCTCCAGGTGTGCGGGCTTTAGTAGCACTCAGACTCAGTAGTTGCAGTTCCCGAGTTCTAGAGTACAGGCTTAGTCATTGTGGTATGCAGGCTTAGTTGCCCGGCACATGGGATCTTCCCAGACCAGGGATCGAACCCAGTTCTCCTGCACTGGCAGACGGATTCTTTACCACTCAGCCACCAGGGAAGCCCTATCTCCGTCTTCTCTACAGAGGGCTTTAAGTTTTTTTTTTCTTTTAAAGATTAAAAGAAAAGTAATAGGTGTTTATTGTAGGAAAATTGTGAATTCTTAAGGTTAGGCTGGGTAATACGGCTGTTTTCAATAGGCAGTCGGTAAGTATGCTTGTTGCTTCATAAATGCATCATGTTAGTTTTTATGTTTAAAAGCGTCTAGTTTTCCTGTACTTTTGAACTCTGCCACAGGCCAGTATAATCAAACCGTGGCTCTCAAGAGCCAAGAAAGAAGTGATAGTTTTGAAAGAGTTGACCAGAGCTGAAGAAGGACTTGAGGCTTGAGACTGAGAGGGCTCCCTGAGTGCCAGGCAGGGATCCTGAAAGGAGACCCATGCTGGGTCTCACGTAGCGTGGTGTGGACAGGCCACAGTCATGTGATCCCCATGGAGTCAATGGGCTCAGACTTCGCACTTGCAGTCCTATGAGTTAGAAGCTGAACCCAGCAATTCTGAGACCTGTGCCTGGTACAGAACCATGCGAGGGGCCCAAAGACTACCGACACCCCGGGCTCCCTGGGTGTCACTCCTCCTCCTTGGACCCTGATGCCCCCTCATGGCCACCCACCCCAGCAAGCTTCCGTTCAGCAGCAGCCCTCACTGCTACCGACCTGTTGACCTCGACACGCCTAAAGGCAAGTTGTGCTGTAACAGTAGTTGCCGGAGCCACCGTGAATATCTAGGATCTGAGATTCTGCTCTCTCCCTGGATTTTAGAATGAAATCCACATCTCCTTGGCCCTCAGTTTTCCCAGCCACATCTTTGTTTCCGTAAAGCTCTCTTTTCATTTTGCCTTAGGTAACTCCCACTCTGTGATGTGCAAACCTCCCTACCTATTCAGCGTCTGCATCGAGTGTTTTCTTTTCCTCCAGGCTTTAACTGAAACCTGGCTTTCTCCTGCAATGGCTCCTGCACTCAGACCCTGTGCACTGGGAGGCGAGGTCACTGTCTTTACTCCCAGGGCATCTGCTGGACCGTTAACCACTCTTCACTCCTTGAAAATGCTGCCCCTCCTCTGCCTGCCCTCATCACTGTAGCATCTTTCTTCTGAGGCCCCCTCATCCCTCCTCCTCACCTCATTATTTGGTTGGTCTGGCCCCCGACATGTCATTTCTTCTCTGCCTCAAGGCCTGACATAACCCTGTGTTACTTCCTAGTTTCTCGTTAGCAGCCAACCCCTTGATCTCGCAGATCCTTCATCTTCTCTTCTCACTTATACTGCTGACACCCTAGACTTTGCCACCTTCTGAAATGATCTTATTTTTCAAATAGTATTTCAGAAATTCTATTGCAAAATCCTTCCGTCTTGGCAGTTCAGTCAGCAAGTCTGCTGAGTGTTCTTTGACTGTTTAGATCTCAGGGTCCATGTGTTGTTCTGCTTTTCCCCTGTGTATTATGAGTACTGCCTTAACTTTCTTCCTCATATAGTTTGGATTTCATAGTATCATTTCAGCCATCTTTGTCAGTATCCTATACCTGTCCCTTTGCTCTTTTGTTATACTTTTAAAAATATATATATATTTATTTATTTGGCTGCACGAGGTCTTAGTTGGGACACATGGGATCTTTCAGTTGTGGCATGTGGGTCCAGTTTGCCGACCAGGGAACCCAGGTGCCCTGCATTGGGAACATGGAGTCTTAGCCACTGGACCACCAGGGAAGTTATCCTTGGTTGGCAAAATTCTCACCCCAGATCAATCAAGGTGTTTGTCTTTTTTTAATGCTCTTACTTGGGTTGCTGATGCCTCTGGAGTTCTCTTCATACAGTTGAATCAGTACTCCTGTAATTGTGTGAGATTCCACACAGAACACCCTCGTTAATCCTTCCTTGATTGTCTGGTAAGGTTATAATCTCACTCTCCCTAATGTCTGCCTCAGGCCTCTGCCCACTGCAGTTTCATGGTCCCTGCTTTCCTCCCCCTTTTCTTCCCCTGTTCCATGGAGAAGTTAGAAGCCAGCAGAGTGGAAGTGCCCCAGTCTCCTGAGCCACAGTTACAAACCATCCTCTCTTGTACCCACTCCTGTCCGAGGCCAGTCTTCCACCTCCTTCACCTCTGATGCCTGTCACATCTCTCCCAGGATCCGTCTCAGGAAGCTCACAGTGTCCATTGTCTTCTGCCTCCCTTTGTACGGGTTCTTAATGTTAGCATTAAACGTCCTGAAGTTTTCTCCGTTACTTTAGAAAGTTCTCTCTTCCATCCTTTCCTTCCCTTCACAGCCAGATTTCCTGGAAGCATCTGCCAGTCGTTGGGTAGGAACTTGTGAAAACGCTTGCTCCTGTGCTCTCAGGGAAACACGAAGCAGGGTCTCAGCTGAGAGTGAGGAGGGAGCAGAGATTGGAGATTTAAGTGAGAAACAGTGTGGTGTAATCCTCTAGGAGAGGCAGGCAGTACTTACATTTGCATCATTGATGTTGGGTCACTGTTGGAAATACAAAGGAAATGTGACCCATAATTAGAGGGGGAGCTTTAATGTGCTCCTCTTAGAATTTAAGATAAGTAGAGGGGAAAAGAACGTAAAGAACGTGATCAACACAATTTCGCAACCTTGAATTGAAAACTACATACAGGACTACTGCCCGTCAATCAGAAAGAAGGCTTACAACCTCAACTTGTAATTTTGATGTTAAATCACCATTTAGAATCTCAGATCAGGCCACATTCTCCAACCGCAGTGCAGTGAGACAAGGTATTTACAGATTCCCACCTGTTTGGTGCAAGTGCTGCTCGATGACTTCTTCTGTTTCTGCTGCTGACCACTCATCCATATGGCTTTTTGGTAAAAGAAGTCAAAACTGCTATTACAGATTCTTTAGATGTTAATCACAACAAAATACCATGTGTAAAAAACTGATGGCTTATGGCAAAAACTGCTTTAAGACATAATTCATAGTTGTAAATATTTTTATACACAAACCTTTTACTCACAAGGTAGATAAAAGGCAACTTTATGATAATTAACTGAGCTTTTCATCTCATGAGGTTTTCAGTGTTTCATTTCACACACACACACACACACACACAGTCCTTTAAAAATACAGCCTGGATGTTAAATTAAGATGTGACTGTGGTGATCATTTCACAGTATATACAAATATTGAATCATTGTGTTGTACACTTGAAACTAATATAATGTTATGTATCAGTTATACCTCGATTGAAACAAAATAGTACAGCATGAAATGAACCTAAATAAGAAGAAAAACAAAGTTAAGTAAAACTTGAACTGGTTCCACGGAAAGACCATAATACAGACAAGTGTTTGGCAAGTGTGACTAAGAAGACAGAATCACCAGAAAGGATAAAGGTTTTATAACACTATAAACAGAGACAAAAATGCCTTGAAATAAGGTGGAAAACTCTGAACAGTGCCAGTGGGAGAAATGGTAAAGGTTGTGAGACATTTACCTTTATGTCCCAAAGACACGAGGCCCAAATAATTTCAGCAGTGAAGTCTCTCCAGTCTCGAGGACTAAATAATTCCTGTGTTATCTCAATGGTTTTAGACCATTAGACAATGCAGAACAGTCTGGATAACATCAAGATCAGAAACTAAGGACTTTGAATGCTTACTTTTTACTCTTTATTGAAAAATAATGCATAAAGATAGTTAAACAATGAAACACACGGTACAGCAGGAATTGTTACTGTTGTTCAGTCACTAAGTTCTATCCAACTCTGCAGCCCCTGCCAGGCTCCTCTGTCCATGGGATTTCCCAGGTGAGAATGCTAGAGTGAGTTGCCATTTCCTACTCCAGGAGATCTTCCCAGACCAGGGATCCAACCTGCATTGGCAGGCGGATTCTTCACCACTGAGCCACCTGGGAAGCCCACAACAAGGCTTACGTTATTGATAAAGAAAACAAATACCTGTCCTCCCCCTGCCCATTCTGGATTTCCTCTTGAGAGGAAGTCATTTTGTCTGTTTTGTCTTGTGTTTGTATGTATTTATGAGTAACAGGCTTATAATCTTTTTTTTTTCCCCCCTTTTGAACTTCTATTGTTTTCTGTAGACTTCCTACTATGAAAAAAGAGTTTTTAACTACATTCCCCCCATCTTCCTGGTTGAAGTTAAGTCAACATTTTTTGGCATTTTAGTAGTATTCAACATGTAAACTGTTTCTCCTGTGATCACATTTCTCTTACACAATGTGCTGTTTTCCCTGGGGTTAGTAATTTTCCAGTTTTGTGGGGAACAAAGTCGTTTTGCAGTGACCAACATTGATTTGACAGAACTACAGTCTTCTTTCTGTATAGAGACGTGTATCAAGTAAGTGATCAGGGTCTCCTCCCCCAGAGTCATCCCTCCCGGGACCCTCTGTCCTCCAATCTCTGCTCGGTGCCCTTCAGACTTTCCTTCGCCTGCAGCCTGGAAATCCCTTGCTTACCCTGGTTGTCTTTCTGTCTTTCTTAATTTATGGGTCCCACATGCTGTATTTTGGATGGAGAATAACATCCAGTAGCTTCCTGACAGGGCTTCCCAGGAGGCGCTAGTGGTAAAGAACCTGCCTGCCAATGCAGGAGATGTAA